CGATCCTCAGATCTCAGCCTCCTGAAGTAGCTAGGATTACAGGCGTGAGCCACCAGTGCCCAGCTTCATCTGGTGTTTTTAAGGATCCAAACTATGTACTTGCAGGCTGGAAAAGTGAAAAAGTGTCCTCATTTACCTCCCTTCTCTGGCTTCTTCTCAGCGGATGTGACCTTGGACCCTGAGACAGCTCATCCTAACCTCGTACTGTCAGAAGATCGTAAGAGTGTCAAGTTTGTAGAGACAAGACTCCGAGATCTCCCTGACACACCCCAGCGTTTCACCTACTACCCTTGCGTCTTAGCTACTGAAGGTTTCACCTCAGGTCGACATTACTGGGAGGTGGAAGTAGGCGACAAGACCCACTGGGCAGTGGGTGTGTGCAGGGACTCCGTGAGTCGAAAGGGCGAACTGACTCCACTCCCTGAGACTGGCTACTGGCGGGTGCGCCTGTGGAATGGGGACAAGTACGCAGCCACCACCACACCTTTTACCCCTTTGCACATCAAAGTGAAGCCCAAGCGAGTGGGCATATTCCTAGACTATGAGGCTGGCACGCTGTCTTTTTACAACGTCACAGACCGCTCTCATATCTACACCTTCACTGATACTTTTACAGAGAAACTTTGGCCCCTCTTCTATCCAGGCATCCGGGCTGGTCGGAAGAATGCTGCACCACTTACCATCCGGCCACCAACAGATTGGGAATGACAGGTTGGCAAATAGGTTTTATTGGGATGAGGCAGGGTCAAGAGCTATGGGCCTTTATTCCTGTGTCCCGCTGGAATGTCTTGGTGTTTGCCGAGTTCCAGGTCTGAGTCATCTTGGAAAAACACCCTGGCGGTCACTATGTTTTGTGTTGAGGAATAAGTAGGCCTGGGCTGCATGACAACACAGCTGCGTCTCCTCCTCACCGTAGGAAGGGGGGCTGGTTGCCAGGGAACTGTAGCCCTGTCATCCATCAGGTTTTCTATTGCACAAGGACAGGTCAGGAAGGATGGAGAGGCTTTTGCAGAAACAAAGAAGTCTAGGAGAGGGTCCAACTTGCCCAAACAAAATGAAACTGAAACCTTTGGTGGTTTGTTTGGTTTTGGTTGTTTTTTGTTTGTTTGTTTTTTGACCCAAAAAACGATTCCATTTTGTTCCTTGAGGAACATTGAAAAAACATGAAGGATAGTTGCTGTCACAGGTCCAAAAGTTACGCAATTTTGCCTGAGGACAGAGACTGAGCACCAAGAATGTTAGAAGGACGATCAGGGAAGAGGGCTAAAGGAACATAACCCTAGAAACTAATAAAGAAGATGGAGATGTCTTTGATCTTATTCCCAGGGTAAGGTTGCCACTATGAGTAGGACTGGCCAGAAGTAGGGAACAAGGAACATAGGGAGAAGGAAAGAGTGGGAAGAACTCAAGTCCCTGTAGAGCTTGCTTCTTACCTGCCTCCTTACAGTTGGTTGTCTCCAAGAAGTTGCTTACGTGGCTCCTCTCCAGTGGTGAGGTAGAAGAGATCGTGCTAGACACATCTACCCTTCCACAGTTTTCCCAAGAGAAATTGGTAGAGTCAAGTATTAGAAGAAAGAGGTATGTCTACTTAAAGCCCCTAAAGAATGTCACTAAGTAACTACTTCCAAGTAGTCAGCCCTGTTACCTGGTTCAGGTGTCTTTAGAAGGAAGAAAGGAAAGAAGGAAGGGTGATAGAGTCTGAAGCAGTCTTTCTCACCCTAATGACAGGGTAGAAGTTGGTATATATAAGGAAGGACCAGATAGGCAACTTCTTTTTTCCTGTGAGCATCTGACCCAGAACTGAGTGTTAACAACAGCCTTGTGCGTGTTTGTTGGCATCCTTCACTTTTCGCCATTCCCCTTTAAAGAATGTATATCATTTTTTATCTTAGGCCAAAATAAACAACCTGTAGGGTACATACACTGTCAAAAAAAGGTAAAGTGATGCATGTCAAACCAAACTAAAACAACTGGGATTATCTGCTGCTCTGAAGACTGAGACAAGAAACTGCAGTTTATTGAGGGCATTGAGTTCCTCCTACCACCTCAACAGGACTTTGTCCACTCTCCTCCTCTTACCTTTGTGCCTTGACTGTGGTTCTTTGTGGCAAGATACTTCGGTTGTTAAACAATATGAACAAAGGATCCACTGAAGTGAGCTCTGTGTTGTGTGATAATTTGATAATGGTCTTACCTTGATGTATAAGAATCCCTGAGTGTGAAAAACACATATTAATGGGCCTTAAGTGCTTGACTGAGGTCTGGATGGGCCTGGGAATCTAAATTTTAACCACACGCTTGATGTGAAACACTACACTGAGGAAGCCTTAGCTAATTTCCATCCTGTGGGCTAGAGGCCTGGTTCTCTATCCAGCCTGGCAGAGGTCTGCAATGGAAAGGGGGGATAGGGTGGGAGGGGGGAGTCTTACCTTCTTCTGACTCACACTGCACTTCTTAGAATTCAATATACTTTTTTCAACCCCAACCCTTCCATTCCCCAGTTTGCATCCCTCAGCTTCTGACCTCAGGCACTAGTAGTCATTAACTGAGTCAGAGGAAAACAAAGGATGTCATTACAAATGGGAGACATCAAGCCATCAGAGGAAGGAGTGTTGTCTGTCTGGCTTGGGTTGGGCTGTATTGGTGGGGAGGGACTGGTAGAGGATACTGTTGACAAGTTTAACAGGTTTTTATGCTGTGAAGATCACCTGTTTTGTGGCCAGGCTGTGTAATACCAAATGTATTTCATTGTTAAATGCAAAAATGGAAGTAAGCCTGTGTTTTCTGAGGGTCTAGGCCACTCCCCTCCATCCTTGTTCCACATTCCATAGTCTTTCCACTGTTGATCCTTTCCACTTTCACCCCCACAAGCACCAGTGCTTTGTGTGTACATGCCTGCTTGAACTCAGGGTGCTGTCCCTGAGCTGCTTTTGCTCAAGACTAATGCACTGCCACTTGAGCCACTGTTCCACTTCTGTTTTTTGTTGTTGTTGTCAGTCATGGAGCTTGAACTTTGGGCCTGAGCACTGTCCCTCAGCTCTTCAGCTCAAGGCTAGCACTCTACCTCTTGAACCACAGCACCACTTCCAGTTTTCTGGTGGTTTATTGGAGATAAGAGTTTCATGGCTTGGGGCTGGGAAGGTGGCTCAGTGGTAGAGCACTTGCCTTGCATGCATGAGGCCCTGGGTTCAATTCCTCAGCACCACATAAGCAAAAAGAAAAAAAGCCAAAAGTGGCTCTGTGGCTCAAGAGGTAGAGAGCTAGCCTTGAGCTGAAGATCTGAGGGACAAGCTCCCAGGCCCAGGGTTCAGGCCCCACAACCGGACCCCAAAAAGTTTCATAGCCTTTCCTGCCCAGGCTAGCTTTGAACTGTGATCCTCAGATCTCAGCCTCCTGAGTAGCTAGGATTACAGGCCTGAGCCACAGGCTCCTGGCACGTCTGGCTTTTTTAAAAAATTAGTTTATTGTAGGTAAGAGTCTTACATACTTTACTGCCCTCACTGGCTTCAAACTGCCATCCTCAGATCTCAGCATCCTAATTAGCTAGGATTTACAGGGAAACCAATAGTTAAAAGATAAAACCTCTGTTTCTTCCGTCTGTAGTTCTTCCAGGCACCTACCTTTGGCTTCAGGAGAATGAGATGGGAGATAAACTCTCCCAATTTAGCTCTATGAAGAAATTAGATTTCTGTCCTGGAAATGTCCAACTACTAAGATCCTCTCCTACTATACTAGCCTCTCTAGTCTCTACTTAATACATGATTATAGTTTTGAGGAAGTCTGGAAGACATCCAAAATAAAGGAGCCCTGGAATCCCTGGGGGGATGTGTTGACAAAAGTGCCCCTGTGGGGCTTCGGGCCAAGGTACTACGTTTCCCAGGAGGCGCCGCGCGAGCTCAGGGGGCGGGGCTCCGGGGCGGGGCCTGCGCGTACGTCTTCCCTCTGAGCTATGGCGGGGCAGGTGAAGGATCGTGAGGCCTTCCAGAGGCTCAGCTTCTTGTACCAGGTGAGTCCGCGAGGATAGCGTGGGGAACGGGGCCCGTGCCGTCGGCCCCATAGTGATCGCTTGGCGTCCCCAGGCCGCGCACTGTGTCCTAGCGCAGGACCCCGAGAACCAGGCTCTAGCGAGGTTTTACTGCTACACGGAGAAGACCATCGCCAAGAGGCTCGTCCTGCGGCGGTGAGAGGCGCGCGGGCCGGCGA